TATATGTAAACATGTTGCATTTAAGATGAAAACAAAACTCCAGAACTGCTCAAGTGGAAAAGGTTTAGTTTGACTTGGTTAAATTCATAAAAGGTCTTCTTTAAGGAACCTTTTGATATCCAATTATGAATCAGTTAAACAACAAAATAATGGACTGATTAATCGACTTCCAAAATAATAATTAGTTGCATCCCTAGATCAGATAGCATTCATGAGCTGGAACGTTCCTGTCCGATCTCACTAAGCTCGACCATTTTGCAAAGAAAATTGGACACAAGAAAACCAAACAAGCAAAAACATCAGTAGATAAATACCCAAAAGATTAATTTTCCCTCTATGTGTTGTTGGTCTTTTGTATGAAATGCCAATAAATTACAATAAAAATGCAGAAAAGGGGAAATTAATATCTCTGCGCGGCATAAATCAAGGAACAAACACAGGTCTTACTGTTCCACTAAATGAAAAAGGCTTTCATCATATCTCTCACTCCTATTATTAGCCAGACAACATCACACTCCTCACTGCTCCACCCAACCTCACCCTGAAATGTCTAACCAGCCTGAAGAGAGCAACTTAAAGCGCTTTTTTAATCATTAAATACGTTTATTATCTTGTAACATATGCTTAACATCCTAGTGACCACCTGTGAATGCAGCCATATACAGTTAGCCTTCATGAAGAATTTAAAGGTTTTTAAATATAGAACGTTTAAAATATTATTTCAAATCATCTCGTGCTGCAACTTTGATAGATGGGTTGAATAATACCAGTACAATAAAGAAATGCTGGAAATCAGAGCTCAGGGGGGGAAGGTGTGGAGTGACGCAAATGCACCAGAAAGTAATTTCAGAACAAGAGAGAGAAAAAAAAAAAACACTCTCACACACACAGACAGACATGAAAAAATGACACATTTTCTTCCATCAACAGCGCGCTATAATTTATCTGAAGATGAAACATAAGCTGCCAGGGACCCTGGTTACCATGGTAACTATCAAGTGAAGTGCAGAGTGGTTCTGGCATCCGTCCCCACAGTGATTTTTTTTTTTTTTTATATGCACGGAGTAAAAGACACAGGATCAACAGTAAGGCTCTGAGCCGCGAGACGACACGTCTGCAGCTTTCCAGGACACAAAATGTCTGTCGCCTTGCCAGCAGAGGCCTGACTCATCTGAAAGCATGGAGACCGTTCAGAAACACAGGAAGGAGAGGGGTTGGTTCAACATAACAGCAAAGCTATCGCTTATATCTTTGTTTAAAAGTCTTATTTATAATCCTACAAAGGTCATCTTATTTCTTATTTTGTCCCTTTTCTTATTTGGTTTCGTATTTGTCCGTTCTTTGTTGTGTTTCACTGGGTTCTTTTTTCCATGATAAAACCCAGAGCAGCACATAAATATGCTGTGAAAGGAAAACGATCCATGCTTTTAAAAATGTTTTCTACAGGAACATCGGAAACCTATGAGATCAAGCCCTCCTGACTCAGTACTTAAGAAAAACAGATTCCACTCCTCTCTCTCTCCACGGCATTTTCTGAACGTTGTTATTCAGAAAATCTGAATACATCTGAGACTGCATGAAGAACATCTTTTGGGGCGTTTTGTCTCAGATGATAATTAGGTTTGAGTTTAAGTTGGCGTCCAAACTTTTATTGGGGGTCAAAATGTCAACTGAACTAATAAGCAGCAAAGTAGTCCAATTTCCGTAGAACAGAGACGTGTAAATCATCGTAGATTTGAAATATAACTGTTGTATTTTTGACTTTTTTCTTTGTTTTTGAACAACGAGAACACGCCTCACTCTCGCTTTGCTTTACAAAGTTTAATTAAAGAGCAAATCCACAGATGTTTGGATTTTGCCTCATAAAAGGTCAAAATATTATCCTGTTCCTTTAATGTTTTCTCTTAAGAAGGTTTTTAGATTTTTTCGGTTTAGTTTTTGAAAGATAAATTTGCAACCAAATACTTTTCTTAATTGTGTTTTTGCATTAATCGCTCATGGGGCCATAAATGCCCCATGGGCAGCACTTTGAGCACCACTGCTTCAAAGAGGAGAAGTGGCCTAGTGGTTAGGAGATAGAGCTTGGGATCCTGAGGTTCTGAGTTCAAGCCCCACTCCCACATACTGCCACTCTGGGTCTCTGAACAAGACCCTTAACTGCTCCTCGGGTGCCGCACAATGGCAGCCCACTGTTCCCCAAGGGGATTGGTTAAATGCAGAAAGTGAATTTCTTCAATAAAGTTCAAGTATTTTTATTATGGCACACGGGCTGCACTTTAAGCACCCTTTCTTCAAAGGGATCCCGGATTGAAAGAACATTTTACAGTTACGTTTATCACATAGTTTTTTTATCATGCAAATTGAGTGTTGGGATAATTAACATTGATGTTGTGTGAGTTTATTATGCCTTAATATTAGCTGCCTTTTGCATGTTAGATCTGATGTTTTTTTTGCACAATAGTTTATCTAAAAGACAGTCCCTTTGTACGGATATACAGTTATCTTCATTCTGTATGTGGCAAATATTTGGGAAAGGAATGAGAGCGGTGTCCTTCAAGTAAGAACAAAGTGTGATATTCTGATAAGGCTGGAGCCATGGATATTTCCTCATCTGCTAACGTGTGTGATGTAATGATGTGATGATTAGGGGTGGGTATTGCCAAAGAAGTCACGATTCAATTCAAATCACGATTCACAGGCCACGATGCGATTCTATCACGATGCATCACTATACTTGAATTATTGCGATGCATTCCAATATTTTCTCCTCCATGTTTTGTTTTTGAATGACTCGGCTCACAAGGCAGCGTGCGTCAACACATCCGCAGCAACATCTACTGGACTGGAAGTTGTATACCACTTGTTTTTGGCTGATGTTCGCCAACCATTCATGCAATCTTGTTTATTAATTTTTTAAAATTAATAATCGATACTTGCCGTCAAGAATCGATGCAGTAGATCACGAAAATTAGAATCACGATGCATCATCATGACGATTATTTTGCACACCCCTAGTGATGATGTGGCAGACTGGGAACATATAAAAAACCTCTTTAACTGTTAATCGTGGCCACTTCCCAAAATCTGTTGCCATGTCTCATGGTTATTTAATACATATAAGTTATGAAGTGTTATTTAAACAGTTTGTCTTGAGTGATCTGTTTTAAGAAAAATAACTGGAGAGAGAAAGCTTCAAGGTGTAGACACAGAGCCTTTAAAGTCGTAGGGAGGCGGCTAATTTCTGAATTCTCCCAAGTGGTGCCCGACTTTACACGAGTGAATAAAGTGAATGTGATTAGTCGTTTATCAAGGGGGCGGGATTGTTGTGGGGGAAGGTTCGCAAGTAAGTTTGTTTCCGTTTGCGGACGTTTTCTTTGAAGCATCTTGCTAACCAGTTAGCAGCTTAGCGCTAGTAGCTTCCCAATGGCAAATTCCATTGGGACCAAGTAGCACTAAATTGGTGACTTAGAAACGACACTGTCAAGGAACGCTATGGACAGAGGAAACATGCAAGAGGAGGAGAGTTTAGTGTCCGAGGTCGTGAATGAGTCTCCTCCGTCATACATTTTTCATTTAGAGGAAGAAAGAGGGGGACAAAGATGTTGTGGAAGAGGATGCCAGGGCGGCAGAAGCTTGGTTTGGTGTAGAAGGCTTCCAGCCGTACATGTTTGAGCCCTTGCCTCCCAACGCTGCCAGTTCTGTTAGCTCTACGCCTGCTGATGGACACAGACGTCCATCCCCGTGAACACTGGGACGGAACTCAATGGGAAAGGAAATTATTCTTATTTCTCATTTTAACCGTTGCGTATATTAGCTGCGACATATGAATCAAAATGCTATGACCGAAAATATTTGATTGACAGATGACCGTTATTAGGTGTTCAAGCAGACAAATAACTAACCTGCCTGCATAAGATAACGGGGGAAAAAAACAGATTTTAAGACAGGATTTTTTTTTAAATAGAAATTTTCTAAATTTTTGGACAATATCATCTTATGAAGAGTACATTTATATACATGTTTAAGCCAGAATGATTTGACATTTAAATATGACTTCTCTATGACTTTAACAAAGGAAAATAAACTAATATTGGCTTCAAGAATTCACCTAAAACTATCAGACTGATGTCATAATAATTGATATCGGCATCGGCCTTTCAAAAACGTAAACTAATAAAAAAACTGAAACTGAAAGAGAAAGAGAAAAAAGTGTTGCTGATTGAAATAAGGAAATAAAGAGATATAACCAACTGAAACTAAATGGTGTTTTATAAAACTAATAAAACATTCTAAAATGACTGATAAAGTCACTTTGCTTTCATTTTTCTCAACTTTTCAAACTGATATGAAATGTTTTATTCTTTTCCCCTCAGCTATAACTGAACCAGTTTCTAAAAATGGCGCCTTGTTTTGAGTTTTTATTACGCACAATTCATAAATACTCATAACTACTAGTGTTAGGTCGGTTCAAATGAACTATTTGTGTAAAATTGATCTTTGTCATAAGTAAAAGATTAAGTACCTTTTTTAATCCAAAGGTTTCAACTGAGTCTTAGTTTTTTGAGCCGTTTGATTTCCAGTTACCAGAACTTCAAAATAAGAAGAAATAGTTTTATATTTATTACGTGTTTTAGCTTTTAGGGAGAATAAAAGTTGACTAAAGGTAAATGACTTAATGTCACCAAAGTCAAGCTTACTGCCTGTTAAAAATGTAAAGGAGCAAAAAAATGCAGTCAAAGCTCTGAATAGCACACGATATGACTGAAGCCCATTTTAACCATAAAATGAAACGACAATAAAACTGTGATTCAGTAAAAAAAAAGCTTTGGATCTAATTATTTTTAGTGTATTCACAATTCTGCTGCTATCCCGACTAATGAATACATAATACTGTACATAAAAAGTATGAAAAACATAAAGCTAATACTGGAAACCAATGAACACTAAAGTAAAACTGAGGAATAAAATTTCAAAACCGTTTTCATTTTTCCATCTCTTACCTTCTTCTGGGTGGAGCGGTTCCCCTGCATGTAGTTCCGGTGCATCTCCAGAACCTTCTGAGGTCTGCTGCGGATCCAAGCGCTGAGCGTCTCGATAGGCGACCCGTTCACAGACCACTCGGTCACACCGAACTGCCTCAGGTGGGCGCGCGCATGGCTGGCTAAAGCCTTACGGTTCTCAAAGTAGAAGCCGCAAAGCTCGCAGCTGGGGTCTGGAAAACAGGAAGAGATTTGATGTTCTGTTTAGGAATCTGTTTGATGTGAAAGGACCCGATGTGAGAATAGCAGCCGCTCACCCTGGTGTCCGTGCTTTTCTGGCGAGGGTTTCCTTTTGTAGGAGAAATCGTGTGGAAGTGATGAGAAGGTCTTGAGCCGATGTGCTTGTGCTGCCCCAGTCTCCGCCGACTGGGCCTGATCTGATGACGGCCTTTTACCCAGTGGGGACAATCGGAACAGCTTCCCCGCAGGTTGACCCACGGAGCTCACCCCCTGTTTAAGGATCCGTGACCCAGACTGCACCAAACTGAGAGGAGATTTACGGAATTTGGAGGACTGGTAACCGGAAACACCCAAACCGTCCGACCCCCTGGCTCCTCCCACGTTTTCCCATAAGGGACTGCTGGTTCCTTGGCGGGACTCTTTCTTCACTCCTTGCTCTGAGCGAGACGAGCCGCCAGCCCCTCGCTTGTGCATGACCTCCCTCAGGGTGTCGATGGGCGAGCCGTTGACGGACCACTCCGTGATGCCCATTTGCCTTAGATGGGACCGCGCGTGGCTGGAAAGACCTTTGCGGTTCTCGAAATATTCCCCGCAGAACTCGCATCGAATGTCCCTCGTAGGCTCCGCTTCGTGGGACATGGCTGAGAAATGACCAGACAAACACTGCATTACTACATTCATCGGGTGGGTAATACGGAGGAATTCAACAGGAATCTTTTTAGGGTTACCTAAGTTGAGGGGGTAAGCTTTATCAGAGCCGCTCCAGCTGGAGTTCGGAGAGTCAACCGGAAAACTTCTGGATCTCCCCACAGTTCCGGGCGCAGTGACCTCCACCTGCACCGGCTCGGGCTTTGGCTTGAGAGTCAGGCCGCTGGAAGGCATCGGAGCGGCCGAGCTGGACTTGGACATCACCGACTGAGGCGGGCTGGAGGGGCGGGCGAAGGCAAAAGGCAGGCGGCCAAGGAGCGAGGCTGAGGGAGACGAGGAAGTGGACAGAGGGGAGCGAGGGGGTCCTGGAGAGGACGACGGAGGGGTTTTCAGAGGCTTAAGAGGAAGAGCGCAGGGCAGGCCCCGCCTCGTGATGATCTCCCTCAACGTGTCGATTGGTGACCCGTTGACGGACCACTCCGTGATCCCCATTTGGCGCAGGTGGGAGCGGGCATGGCTGGAAAGTCCTTTCCGGTTCTCAAAATACTCGCCGCAGTATTCGCAGCCAATTTCCTTTGGAGGTTCGTCTAAAAAAAACAAGAGAGTTCTGACTTAAAGGGTAAAACATCATAGTTTTTTGTTTTGTTTTTTTAACTGACCAACAAAAGCATAAAGCGAAAGAAAATGAAAACCACAGGCGGAAAACTGCGGAAAAGCCAAACTTTTCCTTCAGTTTCACAATTCTACTCTACTTTTGTTTGGTCAATCAACCAGAGGCATGAACATCTCTGCATCGACCATCACTTACTGTGTGGAAGGGCCATCAGCTCGCCACTGCTGAGGCGGAAGACCTGCATGGAGGCAGTCTTGAGCCGCTTGGCGGGTCGGCCAGGTAAGGACGAAGCGGAGGAAGAGGTAGCTTTGGACCCACCTCCGACCGTGGTCACCTTGTAGAGGAGTGACGCAGAGGAAGAAGAGGAGAGTGTCAGCACCGGCTGCTTCGCCGTGGGAAGCGCGGCGGGGGCGTCCTCCGTTTCTGTAGGACAGTCGAGCTCCAGCGCACTTGCTTTGTGCTTGAAGTCGTCCGTGTCCATCAGCTGGCTCAGGAGTTCAATAGGAGAGCCCTTGGACTCGGAGTATTCCACGCCGAAATGTCGCAGGTGGGCTCGCGCGTGGCTGGAGAGGCCTTTACGGGTCTCGAACCAGGCGCCGCACAGCTGGCAAACGATGTCCTTATCGGAGTCGGCATCCAGTGCTGCAAACCAAGAGGAAACCACTGAGTTAACACTGATTAGACTAAACACCAGTCAATCCCAGAGAGATGATGCTTACTGAGGTTGAGGGGAGCATCGTTCTCCTGTGGAGCCCAAAGTGGCTTTGACGTTGCAGAGGCAGCAGATAGGTTAGAGGTCAAGCCCTTCAGTCCCCCAACTTTGGGCTCTGGGGAGCGCAAAGGGGAAGACACGGGCAGTAGAGATGAAATGGGGGCTTTCTTCACTACTGAGGAAGGCGAGTTGGAGTGAGCCGGAGCTGGAGAAGCACCCGGAGAAGGTGTAGGCGTGGCGGAGCCAGACGGCACCGCCTTTGCCGCTTTGGCCAGGATGGACAGAGGGATGGGTTTCTCGTCCAGCTCCATGTCCTCCTCATCTTTAAGAGAAACAGGCAAGGAGGGTTTCTTGGGCGTGAGAAGAGACGAGCTTATCTTGCCGTCTATGCTGCGTTCCATGGCCACCCGGTGGAGCAGATCGATGGCCGACCAGCCGCTGTCGGAGACGGTGACGCCCAGCTGGCGCAGGTGAGCGCGAGAGTGGATGGAGAGTCCACGTTTGCTCTCGAACTGAGAGTCGCAGACCTCACACTTCCACTTCTGGGCTGTAAAATGCATCAACAAAAAAAGTTAGAAATATTTTGACAGTTTAATTGTTTAAGATTGTCAAAAAGTTTACATCTGTATGTAACATCTGATCACCTAACATCTATTCATCCTTTTTCTCTCTGTCCAAATTAGTCCACAACAAGCCTTTCCTTCCTCCTCCTAAGCCATGTCTCCCTACCCTGACCTCACGTTTGATCTGGGAGACTTTGTGAGGTTTCCACTCTGACATGAATTTTCCCGAGTGAAATTGGTTCACGATTGCTTTGCTGTTGGCTGAACACAACTGCTTGAAGGACCAAACCTGTTATATATTTGCAGTTTTCCTTCGCTATGAGGGCATAAAATCTTACCCTTTGAGCCAGAAAGAATCAGACACAAGTCCAAAAAAATTTAAAAATTCATCCGAAATGCAAAATGCAATTTATGGTGGAAAGCTAATATATAATCATCATCACTCTTATTAAATAATGAAACATGGTGCTGCTAAAGCATGCTGCTGGGAGCAAAGAGCTTAAGTCTTGAGCAATTGAAAAGCTACAATCAATATTGAAAAATACATTTTTTCCTTCCTCAAATTGAAGTATTAAAAAAAAAAATATATCAAAGTTGTGCTTGTTTGGTGAAATATTGTGTTAAGCTCTGGTGTAATTAATGATTTCTGTGTTTTGTTCTCACCTTTGGTGCCTACATCCTCCCTCTGAGTGAGCCGGTCCTTTTTCCCCACACTGGAGCACAGACCATCCAGCGACAGCCGGAGACCCTCCTCATCATCTTCATCTGCCGCATCCTTGTCATCACCTACACAGATTCCATAGAGGCGAATAATTATAGTCGTTTCTAGTAAACATGGCGGACTCATCATTTTATTCTATAATAATGTTTTTTTAAAAGGCCACAGTGATACACTTAAGACGTACGATAACACGTCCTTCAGAAACATGAAATATGTAGACAAAAAATATTTGCTTAGAAATGTTATTTTAAAACTTTATTTATATTGCTTTGAATTATACAATACATACAAGACTGAATTTTAAAATGCACAGATAACATATATTGTGCATCCTTAATTGATTTTATCTATAAACCTACGGTAGGTGGGCAATTGATTGCATTTGCAAAATTCCAATTTCCAAATGGTAGAGGCATTCAGTTTTAGTCACATCACATGTAAAAGCGTGAGATAAATATTTGCCTTTTAGATGGCAATAATTATTATTTTTTATTTTTTTTTTTGCCATAATACAGAGAGGAAGAGACAGTTGCAGGATGTAGGAACCTTTTCACACAAAGTTGACAGAAAATTCCTACAACAAGGTCATGGAAAAACTAGTGTTGCACCGATACCAGTATCGGGCGGGGCCCCGATCCAGCACTAAAATGTTGGTATCGTTATCGGCGGGTATTAACAAAAAGGGCACCGATATCAAATTGAGAACCAAAAGTTTATTCAACTATTGTCACCCATTCCAGGTAAGCAATAAAAACTGGATTTACTTTGTTTTAGTCTTTTTCCTGCTTTACAAAGGTAGGCAGCAGCTTGACAAAGCCATGATGGCAATTATTTTACATCTAAGTAGTATGTGGTTCTTTATATATACACACACACATCAATTTCAAACAGATGGTATCGGTATCGGTATCATCCAATAGTACACAGCCAGGTATTGGGTATCAGGGCCAAAAAAATGGCACTGGCCAAACTAGAAAAAAACTGAAACCGTCTAAGGAAACATCTACATATTTTTTCTTAGTGTAAAGGGCAGCTGCAATAAAATCGCAATATTGGTTCAAAATGATTGCCATTCAGATTTATGGTAAAATTGTTCAGCCCTAATATCTATTGATTCTATATGTATATAGATATATATACAAAATAAATGCTAAATGTCAATTATGTAAAATCAATTAGAAATGCCCGACATTATCGGTATCTACTAACACTGGCTTTAAAACTAAATATCCGACATTGGCCATTCAACCGATTAAAGTCACTGATATGCGAGTCATTCAAAACTGGAGGACATTTTATTTCCTTACCTTGAAAAATGTAAATTACCTATGAACAAAATATATAAACATGAACCTGTTATGTAAATTAAAGTTGTCTTTCACACATAAAACTGTAGTTGTAGTAAAAGTGATTCTAAGGCTCCTGAACATCCCATACTGTAAAACTTTTTTTTCTTGTCCTTTCGTCATGATGACTAAGTTACAAATCAAATCTAAGACATAATTCATCCATCCATCCATTTTCTTCAGCTTTATCCGGGTCGTAGAGGCAGCAGTCTAAGCAGAGATGCCCAGTTTGAGCTGAATTTTGGAAAATACAAACCCTATTGAAAGCTTTAGAGTCGAGTAACTGTAGGTCCATCAGCCGCCACCCTTAGAGCATCACCACCAACTTTCATCACAAAGTTACACCCTTGCTCTAATGTGTTCCTCAACACATATGCAACCTTTTTACTATAACCTCTTATTAAGCATCTTTTTTTTTAAATTCATAAATCTTTCCCTCACAGCAACACAACCCTGTTACTCATGATCTCCTCAACGGGTGTAATACTATCAGACTTTATTCTGTAGCCAGCATCCATGGAAGATAAACAGTCTTTGCAATCTGCCTTTTTTTTGTACATGGAATTTTAAACGCTGAATTTTTTTACACATTGAATTCCTTACACTGAATTTTTATCTGGTGAAAATTTGCCTGCAAAAAAATTCAGCTGCAAAATATTCAACTGTAAATGTGTTGACTTTTTGGACAACACTCGATGCAGTCGAGCAGCTTCTAGCTAATGAAATGAGATCATTTGGTCACGTGACAAAACAGTTGGGTGAATGAGATGTTTTTCTAGCTAAATAGATATTATTACAAAACTTCAGGTAGCTTTTTCAGAGTTTTTTATCTAATCGGACTGAGTGAAATAACTGAGCCGATGACAGCAGGTGCAGCACCCCTGTCTGCCAAGGCTGTTGGTTTGATCCAGAAGAAGCTGAAGGTGGCAAACGTCCTTTTTTCCCCCTGACAGAATGAGCTAATTTCATTGGCTAGAAGCTTCCTGACTGCATCGAGTGTAGATTGATTTAGCTTGAGTGCATTGAAAGGTCACACATTGGCAGTCGAATTTTGAATGATTTTTTTTGCAGCTGATTTTTCACCAGATAAAAATTCAGTGTAATGAATTCAATGTGTAAAAAAAATTCAGTGTTTAAAATTCAGTGCTAAAGAAATTCACTGTTTAACCTCTAAATTTCCACCTAATTTCTGGGAAATTTGCCTATTTTGCAGACCCAAATGGAAAAGCAAATAACTGAGGAACTGCAAGCCCAAATTACATATGCAATACATTATTTGAAAGCTAACACCTTGTAGTTTCTGAATATATACATAGAAATTGGGTGAGTAAAACACCCAAGCTGCATCAGTTCAAACAAGACTCAAAGTTGCTTTTTTTTTATTCTTGAAAATAATAGGTCGTTTTTGAACAGCAGTTATAAAGACATGCTTGATTGTATTTGCTGCTGCTTTGTCATGGTACATTTTGACATGCTGCTATATCTGTGTTATATCTGTGCTTGCTGTGTCCATAAAATGAACCTGGTGGTTGAATTGTGGAGAATCTAAGCTTTCCAGTTATGTCAAACATGTCTATATTGGTAAACAGTGTAATTTTCATGCATTCTGAGTTATTATTTGTAAACGCTTTAAAACGGTGGGTAATGAGAGGTTAAAATTCATTGTACAAAAAAGACAGATTTTAATTAGACTGTTTTACTTCTATAAGCATCTATAGCAATATCATTGACAAAAACTTCAACCTTATCTTTGATTTGCAATCCTCTAACTATAATTAGTTTATTCTGGTTGCATTTCTTCTAAAATAAAGACCTTCTATGAGCAGCAAATATAATATTTATTTGTATGTTAAATTAATTTATCCATTCATTTTATGGAAGTCCTACTATGTGCAGCTTTCAACATATTGGGTGTCAAATATGAGCCATCCCTTTTACCCTAATTAAGTCAGTATATGAATTCCTTACATAAAGATTTTGTGATTCTTAGTATTTTATTGTCCCAATTATTATATAATCAACAAATAAATGTGTCACCAGTCAATCCTGTTGCCATAACAATAGTTATTTAATAATCTTAAATGACATTCTAGGATTACAACACTTTAACTTTTTGTCCTCCTAATATATTAAATTAGTCTAAGCATGTTTTATTTGGGAAAAAAGGAAAAAAAAAATCTGGAATATAGTAAAATACAGGTTTTGAAAATTCAAAATTTGGTCAAGATATGCTTAAAAATTGCCTAAATTAATACAAGTATCCACTTTATGAAATGTAGATAGTATCTAAATAAAATATCATTTTGTGTATGCAATTACAGTGCTTATTTAAAATACTTTTTAATCGTATATTTTGATCACCATGGACCATGTATATTTTAAAGCACCACAGGATTGTGGCAAAGATGGAGCATGATAAATGAAAAACAGTTGATGGTTAAGCTGGACGGATTAAATATTATGATTGTTTATCATCAGTGTTTCTAGAAAGCTTATCAGAAAAGATACTTTTTTCAAAAATATCGGACTCTAAATTCAGTAACGATGCAGGTGAGTTGCTGTTTTTGTGACAAAGATGTGAGTTTATGCCTTCAGCACCACCTGGCTGATGCATGAGTCGGGCAAAGAAGACGTGCTGAAGTAAACTTAAATGTTTGCTTTTTTAAAGTTTCAGAAAAAAGACTGAACTATTTTCCTCAACTATGCAGGTAAACTACATAACTTTTGTAAGTAGGTCTAAGATTAAAAAAACTGGTTATCAGGCAAAACGCCAATATCACGTATCCCTAATATTAGAAACATTCATTGCACACACTTACATTTAAGAGTTTCTTAAAAACTGGAATAAAGAATTAGCCTGGCAGACGTCTGTGCTGGCTTTGCATGGATAAAACACATCTGGACCAACATCAGAGGATGATATACCACCTAAAATCCTCTCCGACTGTGGAAACTTCTTTCTTAACTTCTAAAAACCTGGATTCTGTGCCTTCCTGAACAACCAAGACACTAACATTATCTCTGGATCCTTCATTTATTGATATATATAGCACTTTATAACAGCCAATCAGACGGCCAAAGTGATTAACAATATAATCAAGCACAAATTATAGATTAGATAAGAAGTTTGACAACCAGAATCAAACTCCACAGTACTGAGTATTTAAAAGCATCTTTGCATAAAAAGGTCTTGAGTTTAAGTATAAAAAATGCCCGGTCACTGAATGGATGTAAGTCTTGAGGGAGTTAGTTTAAAAACGAACCAAAAGGCTTTAAAAAAGAATCCATAAGTATATTGTCCTGCAAGTAACAGGTTTTCTTCTTAACTTTCACCTTTATTGAAAAAACAATAAGCTTTCTAAGGACTTAATTTGTATTAATCTCCCAGTATAGAGGTCATGGATTAGAGGACGCAGTCCAGATCCAGACCCACCTGCTGGATAATCCGGACCAACCTGACTTAAAATATGAATAAATAACTGCACGTTATCCGACGGCAGTGTCTGATTTCACTTGCGCTGCTTCTCCTGTTTGTACGGCAAAGCCCTCTAACCAATTAACCAATGAGCTGTCAGTCTGGGCTGCTGCTACTTTTAGACACAGCAGGCAAACCTGTGGCAAGCCTAGTAACGATGATGAGAAAATGTGAAAGAAAGTGTGGACTGTTGGAAGAACTGCGGTGAACTGGTGAAAGAAAAGTGAAATGGTGTGCTCAAAGA